TGCCCATTCAACTCCGAACTGGGGATTACACAAGCTGGGAAATGGCCAGCCTTTGTCTCTGGACCAGCCAGGTAGAGATGGAGCGAAGAGATCTGCCGGAGTTCCATTGTTTTGGTCATGCCTGGATGAAACCAGGAAGGGGGTCGACGAGGATAGATCCTGGGTTCTCTTGTAGAGCACTAAGCTGCGTCACTGTGTGGTTACGGAGGGTTCTTGCAGCGGCCCCTTGGAGGTGGTGGTGGTAGTAGTGATAGTGTTAGTAATAGCAGTGGCGGTAGTAGTAGTTAGTAGTAATACTAACAATGCAACCTGGCATGCCAGTGCTAGGAGAGGGGTGGTGTGGGAGTTGTGATCGTCCATCTCTTTTCCGGACCAAAAATATGTCCAGGAAGAAAAGAAGGATACAATAGAAGAAAGAAAGAAAGAAAGAAAGAAAGAAAGAAAGAAAGAAAGAAAGAAAGAAAGAAAGAAAGAAAGAAAGAAAGAAAGAAAGAAAGAAAGAAAGAAAGAAAGAAAGAAACGAAAAAAACGAAAGAAAGAAAGAAAGAAAGAAAGAAAGAAAGAAAGAAAGAAAGAAAGAAAGAAAGAAAGAAAGAAAGAAAGAAAGAAAGAAAGAAAGAAAGAAAGAAAGAAAGAAAGAAAGAAAGAAAGAAAGAAATTAAAGAAAGAAAGAAAGACAAAGTGAGGATGGTGAGGCTTAGGAGGAGGACAGAAGGAAGAACAAGGAGAAAAGGAGAAGTAAACGAAGACGAAAAAAAAGTAGTGGATAAAAAGAAGGGGAGGATAAGGAGGAGAAAATGAAAATGGGAGGAGAAAGAATAAGGGGGAAAAGAAGGAAAATGAGAGTAGGAGGATTCAAGAAGAAGAACACGAAGATGCTTTTATTATTATTATTATTATTGTCAACCACAAGCTGTGAACTCCCCTACCACAGATTCCCACACAATCATCCCCGCCCCCACACGCCGCCTCCTCCTTTTCCCCCTTCCACCCCCTTAGCATGGATCTCGGGGACGAATTCAGCACCGTGACCAATGTTTATTTATGTGCCCATAAGAAAACGGTTTCCGCTTCTCCGTGGATCACATCAGCGCAGCCTCCCCGACCAACTGGTTGCATCCCACGTCAAACGTTCAGGTGGCTCCCTCATCTTCTCCCCCACCTCCTCTGTCAAACTTGATCAAGAAACAGCATTAGCAAATAAAACAACAGACCAGATCTGAAGAGCAGCAGATATTTAAAAGCAGGCGATAATTTAAAAAAAAAAAATGAATTGAAATATGGCGGGAGTTAAAAGTATATTCCCAGAGGATCCGTGAGCGACCCCAGTAGGGGGTCTATGCAGGGATGGAATAATACTTTGAATTCATGAGATACTCAGTGTAAGTGCCGGCATCAAGGCAAACAAAAACAGGCCATCGGGAAAAGCAATTTGCAGCCGATACACAGAAACAGTGCGGGCGGGTGGACAAATTATACCCGTGTGTGTGTGTTGAAGCAACCGGGTGGTATAGTCGATAGCGATCTGGCTTAAAGTTGTATAGGTTTTACTGCATTTAGTGTTGGCGATGTTCAGTCTTTTCTTGCTCTTCTTCTGTTCTGTTGTTATGGTTTTTTTTTTCTTGGACTGCAGGGTATTGGATGGCGATGTTCAGTCTTTCTTGCTCTTCTTCTTGTTCTTGTTGTTATTGGGTTTTTTTTTTTCTTGAGAGAGAGAGAGAGAGAGAGAGAGAGAGAGAGAGAGAGAGAGAGAGAGAGAGAGATGGAGATAGAAAGAGAAGGAGAGAGAGAGAGAGAGAAGAAGAGATGAGAGAAAGAGAAGAGAGAGAAGAGGAGAGAAAAGGGAGAGATGACGAGAGGGAAAGGATGAGAGAGAACGGGCGGGGAGGGGGAAAGGGAAAGGGGTTGGCAATAAGTGTTATTTGAGTGATTTATTTAAAGGGCTGGAAGGTGGAAAAAAGGGGGGGGGGCGGGGCGGCTTGGAATGGTCCAGTAAAGCAGTAGCAGCCCCGAAGATGTTGGATTTCGGGGTCGGAATACAGATGTTTTTTTTTTTTTAAATATCCAGAAACCATAAGTTCTTAACCCTTACGCTCCGTACTATGGATATCGCAACCCTTCGGCCTTGATTCCACGATAGATACCGTGAATCTGGGAGAAATGTGGCTTTTCAGCCTACCCCCGAGTGTGAACCCGGACAACAAGAAGTTCGTCACCCGGTCGTCGCGAAGACAGGTTAAGCCAACTACGCTAGCGAACCGGGCTACGGAATACAAATAAGGAAGTGCCGGAGGCATTAAAAAAAAGGAATTGAAGACAATGCGCAGAAACGACACGGAAGAATATGATAATGGCGTTGACCCAAGGAGGCTTTGGGAGGTGCAGCGGCGGTGGACAATGCTGATGATGACGATATAGAGAGAAAGTGCTAGTAATCACACAGTGACACTTCAAAATAGACTAAACCTCTGATGTCGATAACCAGGTGTCACCCAGAAGCAACCAGCCTCAGACATCCCCGGGATCCCCTCACCCCGCCTCCCTTTCAAGTCATCCCCTCCCTCCCCTACAAACAACACTGTTGTCGTTTTTTTTTTTACCCCACGGTTGATAATCAAACTACAAACTCCAATAACCTGTTTGCTCACTCGCCGCCATGTTTCGGCTCCGTCATGAACTCCCGGCATCAATTTCCATTGACTAGAAAATAACTACTCCCTTTGGATCCGGAGTGCAACTATTTCGCAATTATTCTCTTGCAACCATCAATTTTCGGCAATTTTCTACAAAGGACGAGCAATTACCTGTCCCGCGCCGTCTGACGAGGGTGTGAATTCAAACTTCTATTTACCCACTCCAGCAACGTCAAGGCTGTCACAGATTCCAGTAGATCTAGGATATATTTTGCCTTCCCGCCGTGCACTGCAAAAGTCGATATAGACTTACTAATTGTTTTTTATTTATTCTAGAAACTTCCAAACAAAGATGAATCAAAATCGTCCACCAGGTTTGGTTGGAATAGTTAGTTAGTTGCGTATCCTTACAGGACGTTGCAGAAACAATACTAGCATTGTTTAGCTTTTGTTTTTCTAGGCAAATTTTCCGTTCAGTAGTTTGCCATTGCAAACGGTCAGCCCTCGGTACCACTGTCGAGTACAGCGCAAGATAAATTGTCCGCAGCTGGGATCGAACACGGCACTCCGGCACTACGAAGCGCGCTCGCAGCGCCTAAGCCACAGAAGCCGAAGGTTGGAATTGACAGGAGGTTAATTAAGTGGTTGAAGTTAAAGATTGGTAGGAGACGTTCCTGCAATATGACAGCGATAGGCCTATCTTCTTCTGGTTTTCGTTATATTAAATGTAATAAACAAAGCTATAGTATCGATCGGCACTCATGAAAAGAAGTAAAGAGATAGAAGGACGCACTAGACAACACAAAAAGGGAAAGCTATTGTTACCGTGCCAGAAATCGAGCCTGTCATCTTCAAATGGTTTGTGTGCCTCGCTATGTAAACAAGAACATAAAAAACATGGTCAACTAGGCAACAACCCGCAAAAAAGAATGTCTAACTTACAGCTTGAAATCCACAACTATGAAATACGGGCAGAATTCATCTTAAATCATTAAAATCGCACCATAGGTTACAGAAATGTATATTAACGAAGCATAGGCCGCATAACAAATACAGCAGCGATTTACAAACACAACGTAACGCAATGCTTTGTATAGAATACACAAATATTTAAGATATTTGATTGGTAGGTTTCATCAGTATAGGTCATTCACATAAATAAAGAAAGGGGAACACCTGAGACCGTATAAATAAATGTAATAAACAAACAGACAGTGTATTGATAAGCACTCATAGAAAGAAGTAGAAAGACAGAAGGACACACTAGACAAAAAAGAATCGAAAGCTATAGTTACATGCCGGGAATCGAACCTGCCACCTCAGAGTGGCGTATGGAAACAAGTGCACTTGTTAATTTATCTGTTTTCTTTGAGCATTCGGCAGAGAAAGTTGGCTAAGGATGAGTTTACACGTTGCGTGTGTTTGTGTGAATGCGTAGGCGTGTTTGTATCAATACGTTTGCGTGTTTGTGTCAATGTGAATGTATGTTTATTTGAAAACACACTGTGCGCTTGCGCGCATGGTTAAAACAGAATGACAGGCACGCCACAAACAGCTAGACAAACCGACCAACAAACAGACAAAGACAGACAAACCAACCGACAAACAGACAAAGTCAGACAGGCCGAAAAACAGACATAGACAGACAGACAAACCAACCGACAAAGAGACAAAGACAGACAAACCAACAGAAAAAGACAGACAGGCCGAAAAACAGACATAGACAGACGAACCGACCGACAAACAGACAAAGGCAGACCGACCTAACGGTTTTTCCCTATCCATTTCCAGGAGGTTTGCCGTGAAGAACTGTGCTCGTTGCCAAACTCCCATCTCGGCCAACGAGCTCATCATGAGGGCCAAAGAGCAAGTGTTTCACCTGACCTGCTTCTCCTGTACAGCCTGCAACCGGACCTTGAAGTCCGGAGAGCAGTACGGCCTAAAGGATAATCTCATTTACTGCCGCATGGACTATGAACTGATGTTCCAATCAGACTTCAACCTGTTAAGCATTAGCCCCGGCATGGGCCCTCACGGGGCTCACAGCCCTGGGGCCGGCCCCGGACACATTTCCTTCTACAATGGTGTCGGCGGAGTGCAAAAGGGAAGACCCAGAAAGAGGAAGAGTCCAATGAACGACGGGGACTGTCCATCTCTGGGTAAGTGACCTTGTTGTACTGTATGTGACAATCTGTCTGTGCCACTACAGTTTCGTTCTCCGCTACCGTACCGGCTTCTCTGCCAATACAGTCTGGTATCCAAGAAAGGAGACTGAATACACACACCAGATTCTCTCCCCAAGACTCACTTTATCGCCTTTCTAGAGAGGGACAGTGCATTATATTTAGACTAAGGACAGGGCACAACAGATTTGGTGAACATATGTTTAAACTTTTCGGTGTATGAAATAGGAGCGCCGCCTATAACATATAATATAGACTAATATGGTGTTTATCCCATACTCTCCGAATATGATAACATTGTGTTATCACACAACATGACAGCATTCCCCTACACTCTATCAGATATACATTAGAGTCCTATGTAGTCACTTCATAGTTAGAGCCTATTTGTGTATGTGTACTGTGTTGTCCTTTGTGTGCCGATGAAGGCTAATCGCCGCAACGTCCTTTGTTTGTTTATTGTAATCGATTTTGTAAAGCTAACATAAACTGTTTGTTGTTTCTTACCAACTTTTTCTCTTCCCTATAATTTTCGACTCCTTTTAAAAACACTATTCTATGGGGGTTGCGTGGTCTCGAGGTATGATGTCCGTCTCGAGGGCTAGAGGTTCCGAGTTTAATACCCGGTAAGGGATGGGATTTTTTCACGTGGACTTGGACTTCTAGTAATTCCCGTTCGTCTCTGGGTAGTGAGATCAGGCGCCCGTGTGCAATGTTGAGCACGTAAAAGAATCCCTTGACAGTTGGAAATCGAAAAGAGTAGCCCAACGGCGCTGCTCGGGGAAAATTTGGAGTTACAAATCTACCCAAAGTTTTTCAGGGCCCTCGTCGGTGCTCCAGAGCCTGTGCACTGTGCTGAGCCTCTTCAGACTCATACTTAAGTTAGACACTTATGGGTTACACCCGTGTGCCATGATGTTGACCGGTTGTTCAAAACCTCTAACCTCTGACTATTCTAGATCACAATTATACATTTGGAACACTACATCTATCAACACTACTCTGTTTGACTACATGTTTACAGTTGAGCTATCAACCCTACTCTGTTTGTCTACATGCTTACAGTTGAGCTATCAACACTACTCTGTTTGTCTACATGCTTACATGGTATGACCCTCGATTACAGTTGAGGGTAATTATTTCAGGTATGACCCGCGAACAGTCTATCTGCCGACACCAACCTACATATTTACCTACTTCCACCACCCCAACCCTCCCAATTTCTACCTGCCTACACTACCTAATGTATCTACCTGCTCACACAACCTAGTGTGTTTTTCTGTCTAAGTGACCCACGCTTCTACCTGTTCAGGCCACCACTCGCCTACAACACCCCAACATATCTTTATGTCTACCAACCTCTTCATTTTTACCGATCAACACTATCCCCCATTTCTACCTACCTATACTTCTACAAACACTTCTACCAACCTCACATTTCTACTTGCCTATCCAACAGAGAGGTCTACATGCCGATACATCTACAAACACTTCTACCCGCCTACAGAACCTCACATTTCTACTTGCCTACCTACAGATAGGTTTACATGCCCTTAAATCTACAAACACTTCTACCCACCTACAGAACCTGACATTTCTACTTGCCTACCCAACAGTTAGGGCTACATACCTATACATCAACAAACAATTCTACCCGCAGCTTACATTATAACCTCTCCAATTATATTATTACAACCACAACCAACCGTTCACCCCTCAAACATGGACCAGCCTGCCAGTCCCTCATGGCGCCCTTGTGTGGTAGAGTCCAATTAGCGGGTGAACAGATTGTGGCGCCCCCTGGAGGGGCCCGCAACTTAAAACCGCGGGGAAGCCTTGCCGTCTCAGATAAGCGCTTTTAAATCTGCGCGCCATTCAAAGTTTACCAGATTTATTTGGATTTGTTTTCAAATGAAGCGCAGCCAATGCGTTTTACATGTCTATTAAGCAAAAACGCACAGCTGTTTGAGTCAGCTTTTTATGACAAACCGGCACATGGGCATGGCACGGGTCGCTAAGTATTGCGTCAAAATTTAGGATATAAAAATGGCGATCTCTTTTGAATAGAGGCATATTGACTCACAATGGGTGAATATTTGAAAGTTATGTCTGGGAATTTCTTTCAGGAACGTAGCATTATTTTAACCTGACCCCACTAATGTATTTCATATTCTATCTTTATTTATTGTTCCCAGCGCCATGCTCTTTTATTCCTGCCCATTAATCATTTTCTTAACTGTTTTTGCTTCCTATGTAAAAAAAAAATGCGTGCGTTTTTGTGCAAATGATGCTGAAATTTCAAAAAGTTTTTTCCTCTATTTGTACAATTATCTGGCTAATGATACATTTTCCAGCGTGTCAACGGATTTCAAAAGCAAAGAAAACTGACACGGTAACTTACCATGCATGTCGTATGATGCTATTACATAGAGTCGAAATGAAACGGATGAGCGCAGAAAGGTATATCAGTAAAATTACATAAATCAAACATAGATTCTAGTGTGAGTTCAGTGAGATTTATTCTTCACTGGAAGTGAGATGGAGAGGAGGGAAGTCCGGGAGAGGGAGTGAGATGGAGAGGAGGGAAGTCCGGGAAAGGGAGTGAGATGGAGAGGAGGGAAATCCGGGAAAGGGAGTGAGATGGAGAGGAGGGAAGTCCGGGAGAGGGAGTGAGATGGAGAGGAGGGAAGTCCGGGAGAGGGAGTGAGATGGAGAGGAGGGAAGTCCGGGAGAGGGAGTGAGATGGAGAGGAGGGAAGACCGGGAGAGGGGGTGATGAAAACAGACCTACATGGAGCGTAACAGTGAGAGTGATAAGATTAGTGAGAAAAATGTTTCAACTTTTGAGGTTTGAACAACGGATCAACCTCATGGCTCACGGGTAGTAACCTATAAGTGCTCCGTTTTTCTGTTAACTGAAGTCCGAGTCCGGAGAAGCTCATCACAGTGCACAGGCTCTAAAGCACCGGCGAGGGTCATGAAATACTTTGGGTAGATTTTTTAATCCAAATTATGCGCCGTTAGGCTACTCTTTTCGATTTCCAACTGCCAAAGGATTTTTTTTACGTGCACAACAATGCACACGGGCGTCCGATCTCACTACCCAGAGACCGGGGGAGATTACTAGAAGTCCAATTCCACGTGAACAAATCTCAGCGCTTACCAAGGATTGAACCCAGAACCTCTACCTCTCGAGGCGGACACTATGCCTCGAGACCACGCAAGAGCGAGAATAGAGACGGGAAATCTAGAAGAAGGGAGACAGCGGGCAAGATAGGAGACAGCGGGGAAAAGAATAACGAGGTGTGTGTCTGTGTGTGTGTGTGTGTCTGTGTTTGTGTGAGAGATAGAGAGAGAGAGAGAGAGAGAGAGAGAGAGAGAGAGAGAGAGAGAGAGAGAGAGAGAGAGAGTACAGAAAGATTGTGAGATATCCATGTAGGAAAGAATGTGTATATTATTACCATTTTAGCACGTTTACAGTATTACTGCCAGGAATTATCTTCAGCTTTAAAAAAAAAAAAAAAACATCTTAACCGTTCGTACCGCAGAAATCTGGACAATCCGTTTCCACGAACAACAATGGCGGTATCTATAGAAAAGGGACAGTTTGTTAATTTTAAATCACATTTCTGCTCTCAGCTTAAAAATCCACTACCTCTTTGCATCAAGATTACTTTTTTTTAACCGTCTTTCTTCTTCCTTCTAGTCTCCTTTAGCTCCTTCGTCTATTTATAACGGGCTTTGATTCCGATTGCCGCTTCCATATCTCGGCAAACAATCCCAAACTCTATTGTCCTGTGCTTGCCAATTAGCAGTACAGCCTTGTCCCTAACGAGAGGAAAGGATTCCTAGCTCCCCCCCCCCCCCCCCCCCTCTCTTCTTCCCGCCTTGCCCCATCTTCTAGTATCGCAACAGATTTCCCCCCTCAGTGCCTCCCCACTTCTGCGCTCACATCTCGTTATCTCCGCGGAAAAGCATCAAAAAGAGACTCGGAGAAGCTCGTCTTGTATCGATTCCGGGAGCGGAGTTTGTAAACTCAAACAATTCCTCCATCATTAGTTGTTTCCCGGGATCTGTCTCACGGGCTGGGCCAAGCAGCCTCGTCTCCTGGCTTAGTGGGCTGTGAGGATGGTCCAGACAGACAGACAGACAGACAGACAGACAGACAGACAGACAGACAGACAGACAGACAGACAGACAGACAGACAGACAGACAGACAGACAGACAGACAGACAGACAGGCAGGCAGGCAGGCAGGCAGGCAGGCAGGCAGGCAGGCAGGCAGGCAGACAGACAGACAGACAGACAGACAGACAGACAGGCAGACAGACAGACAGACAGACAGACAGACAGACAGACAGACAGACAGACAGACAGACAGACAGACAGACAGACAGACAGACAGACAGACAGACAGACAGACAGACAGACAGACAGACAGACAGACAGACAGACAGACAGACAGACAGACAGACCGACAGACAGACAGACAGGTAGGCAGACCAGCAGGCAGACAGACAAGCAGGTAAACAGAAGCAGACAGGACACAAAAAGACAGACAGGCAGTCGAATAGGCTTCTAGGCGAGCAGGTGAGCAGAAGAAAAAGTAAAGGCATTCAGGCAGACATGCTGACAAACAATGTAACACGCAGACAGTCAGACAGACAGAATCATTTACAGACTGAGAAAATGTTGTTAATTAAGACAGAGAGCAAACTATATAAATAAAATTGAGGCACGTTTATACCAGCAGAAACACAGGCATATAAACAGCTATACAGGAAGACAGACAGACAAATCCACATATCAAATACAGATATAGACATAGAAAAGTGAACAGATAGAGAGGACTAGCCGACAGGAAGGCAAATAGACATGCAGACTGAAAGACTAATTCATTGACAGACTGACCTGGAAATAATCTGACCGTTAGACAATCAGCTGACAGACTGATAGACAGGTAAATAACGCATTTTT